GAACACTGGCAACTCTTCCAGAGGACCTGGGCTGGATTCTCAGCAAACATGTGAGCCCCCACTCTGTAACTCCACTTTCAAGGGATCCAAAGTCCTCTTCTGGCATCCACAGGTACCAGGCATGAAATTGGTGCAGACAGATGTGTAGGCGAAACACTCAGAAATACAGGAGTGGGGGTTGCTGAGAAGCTGCCTACAAGCCAGGCTGGTTGCCAGCGCTCTGGTTTTTGGTTTGAAGATTCCTCAGCTGGGATCAGCTGTCTCCTAAGGAGCCCTCTATAGAGAGGGTAAGCACATACATCTCACAGGACACATGGCTTCGCAATGGCCACCCGCATCTGAAGTAAAGGATCATTGTCCGACCCCTCCATGTGGGGCAGGTACAGCAGCTGACACATCGGGACAGATGGCGGAGATAAGGGAGCAGGGAAAGGAGGTGGAGAGGACCACAGGGAGAGAAGGCAATGACAGAGCAGTCCGCTGACCAGAGTGACAGCTTGTATGTGGAGAACTGATGAGGCAATTAATTTTTTTAGAGAAGCAAGTTTGCTCCAGCGTAGCTGCCCCAGCCCACCCTTTCCACTGCTGCACCCTCAGCAAGAGAAGTGGTTCTGTGTAAAGGCCCTGCTTACAGGGTGGCAGCATCCACAGCTGTGCAGCCATTTATCAGCTGATAGACCCTATTGTCGCTGGTTGGTGTTTGGCTCTCATGTAAGCGAGCAATCTGAGAAAATAAAAAATAAATAAATAAAGAGACAATGCCTGATGCACTCACAGGGCTTGCAGCGGGAGCCAGCTGGAGAGCCAAGGCACATGAAATATGCATCACAACCAACAAAGCAGGCGGGGTGCACGGACGAGCGTTCACCTCTTCAAGGGTGAGGGGTCAGGCTGGGGGAGCCCTGTGAGCCTCCACTTGGAGGGACCTGTGAAGGTGGGGTGACTTTAGAGGGAGCCCTGTCCGCAGGAGGAAGGGACAGGCAGTGTTCCTCCAGAGCCTCATTGCCTGCCCAGGCTGCACGACTCGGAAGTCGGCCTACAGGGAGGCAGACACAAGACACTGGCTGAGATGCGTGGTGCTGAGGGCTGTGGGCTATGGGGTTAACTAGGCTTCATGAGAAGTGAGGAGGCTGGGGTCTCACACACAAGAACCAGGCGTAGGAGCCCTGCCATGTAGTAAGCGCTCTTTCTCCTATACTAGTTCCCTTCTGAAGGACCCAGAAGCATGTTCCTCTCACTTCAGATGGGATTGTGCACATGGCCACTATCTACAGAAGCAAGCCTCAACTCACAGTCCTGAACTGTTAGGCTCTGACACCACTGCCATGACCAGGAACACCCTCCCCCAGAGTCCTTCAGAGATTCTAACGGTTGCCAGGGTCCTAGGACTTTGAGAACCTACGGCAGCTGCTGTTCTAGGGGCCTGTCTCCCCAAGGATCCTTGAGTGGAAAAGGTCAGGACACCGACAGCAAGGAGGCCTGAGTGACCATCCTGGGGTTCCTGTCAGTCTCCAACCCCACAAAGGACGTCAGTTGACGCAGCTCTCAGGGGCTTCAGCAGGCCGACAGGGATAACCTCTTCAAAGCAACATGGCACCACCGACCACAGAAAACATGTCTGTCCTCTGTCTCCGAGACAGACTAGGCCAAGATGAGGGGTTTCGTTCGTTTGTTTTTTACCCTCCCCATATAACCTGATCAGGTACTCTTTCCCAACCAAGGCAGGGGCAGGAAGAGATTTTGAGGTGATCGCGTTACGGTAAGTCCTAGGCTTTAGTTGTTTGTGTGACTACGCACAGAACTGAGGGCCTATGCATGTTGGGCAAGCCCTCTACCACTGAGCTCCACCAAACCCAAAGTCATAAACTTGTAAGTCAGAGAATCTGACTTTGTCAAAATGCCATATGTTGGCACACACTTAAAGGAACAGCACCCCAGCTTTAGACAGCTCAGGGTGCGGCACAGAATAGCATGTTCATGAGGTCGTCACAGAAGCCACAGCTGGCTCAGTGAGATGGAACGCAGGGACGGAGCAGAAGCCACCAGGGCCAGAGGGGCCAGGACATCAGTCCTCTGTGAAGGCAGCACCTGGTGAGGCTGTGCATCCTGGAGGATGAGTACAGGCGTCCACACCAACAGATGTTTGCTTATAAAGGTAGAGAGAACCTTCTAGAAGGCAGTGGTACCACTTGTGGGGCTGGCATTCTCAGGCTACCAGCAGTAGCCCCAAATGCATGTCCTCCCTGTCCCACACATATGGACAGTGGGCACTGCGGGCATAATGGGCACTACCAGCCACTAACTACATGTGGGGCTTTTATTAGGGGTGAGAAACCCCAACATTTAAAGTCATGTTTTGGAAGCCTCACAGATAAATGTTTTAGGACTAACAGGTATGAGAAAACAAATGTCTATGAACTCAGCTCAAAATGCTGAGAGTATCTGTGTACTGTACATACATATGTACACAGTTGTGCACGGACAGAGACGGTCTCTCTCTCTCTCTGTGCTGGGAAACCAGTTTCCCTGACGATGGACTAGGATGTCAAAGGCAGTTGGCCATCAGCAAGGTGGTAACAGCCTCAGAACCGACAACACTGGCACTGAGCAGGACACCCCCATGAGAGGTAGGCGTGGCCCTGGAAGAACCCATACCATCTAGGCCTAGATGTGGAGGTGAGATCTCAACACAGGCATCCTCCTGTCTCCACGTGCACATTTCTTTCTGTGGGTGCTTTTGATTTTCTAACCACAGGCATGTGGCTTTGCTTCTTGCTTCAGGCACAAAAGCCTGGTGGCTAACTGCCAGGCTTACTAGTTCTCAAGTCTTGAGAGCTATCTTTTCATGACAGCAAAAGCAAACCTGACCAAGACTTGATCTGAAATGAGGGAGAGGCCACACATGACATCACACCAGGTTAGAGTTGTCAGTGGCGCCCCAAGTCAACTCTGAGACACTGGAGTGCAGCTGGGTGATGAAGGCCCCTCTGTCCAGCTGGGGTAAGATACCGAGCGCCAGAGCGAGCCCGCGCCCTTTGCTATGACACTGTTGAAGGAGGAGTAGGCTATCCTGGCCTGGGCAGCCCCACTTTGCTTGCCATCTGGTGGAATCTCAGGGCATCTCAGACTCTCAGCCCGGGGACAGGCCTCTGGCTGGTGATCTCTAGGGAGTGAGTGAGGGTTCAAGCTGGCTCTGGGGCTGAGCAGGACAGACTACCGAGCAGCTGCTAGAATCTTACTTAGCCCCATACTATCCTTACTCTGGCATGCACCCCTCTAACTGCTGAGTTTGTCTGAGCCACCCACATCCCTGGAGCCCAAGCTGGCTGCCGAGCCTCTCACTTTCAAGTGTGTCTCAGGAAAGCTCTCTGCAGACGGGATCAGCTGAAGAAATGTGGGCCAGAGTGGTCAGGTGAGTGGCAGTTTGCTGTGCAGGTGCTAAGCAGCTGTATCTCAACCTCAGACAGCCGTCCTGCCCCCATCCACCCTGTCCTAGACAATGACCCTGCCATCTTCTGAAGGGCAGGTGTCCCCCAGGCCTGCCGTTTAAGGACACCTGAGCGAGAAAAGCCCCTGTCAAGCCATGAGCCTTCCATCCACCCTCCCTGCCAGAATCCATCCGTGCACAGAGGCCTGGGACTGCTCAAGCCTGGGCAGGCAGGTGGCCTGAGTGTGCATTATCTGAGTGGAGGGTGGGGTGTGCAAGGCACAGGCCCCCGCTCCAGTGAAGTTAGGTGATTACAGACATTTCAACATGTAGAGTGGTAGAGGCAGGGCCGGGTAAGGGGAATCTTGGGCCAGCCTGGGGAGGTCTGTGGGCAGGGGAGACGAAAGAACCAGTCAGGTAGAGGATGAGGGAGATCTTCAGAGAGGGCTGACCACAGAAGGACGAGTCCAGAGAGAGGCACCAAGGAGCTCCAGGGCAGGCAAGAGACCACGGACCCCCACCCACCATTCCTGGGACAACAGAACATTTTATGATATCACTGGCTTTTCATAGACTTAAGCTCAGAGCCACATGTCCCTCTTGCTGGCTCTCAGGAGCACCAGCAACCATTTTCCCCTCAGTGAAGGCTAAGGGCAGTAAGGGTAGGCCCACAAAGACCTTGACGGCTCCCTCTGTAGTGGGAAACTCAGGGAGTGCTGGAAGGCTGCCAGGCAAGACTTCAGCATGGGGAAGGAACTGACTCAAGGGGACACAAGCTTCCCAGCCCTTCCACCCTTCCCAAAGGGAGAGCCTCAGCACACCACACCAGCCAGGCTCCAGGAGGCTCCTTTCAGCCAAAATTCCATTTTCTATGAATCCTGAACTTCTCTACGACTGAGCTTCTTTGCACTTACCAATACTTAGGTCTTCTTTTTAATAAAAAGATTTATCCTTATTTTATGTGCATTGGCATTTTGTTGGTATATATGTCTGCGTGAGGATGTTGTATCCCCTGGAAGTGGAGTTACAGACAGGTGTGAGCTGCCATGTGGATGCTGGGAATTGAACCCAGGTCCTCTGGAAGAAGAGCCAATGCTCTTAACCACTGAGCCATCTCTGAAGCCTGTCTTCCCTGCTCCCCCTGGTTCTCAGCTCTCAAAATCCTCAATGAAAGAAGACAGCATTCTCCTCTTGTGCATACTTAAGAGTCACGTATGAAGCTGAGAGCCACCTTCCTGCAGCTGAAGCACTACCTGAGCACTCAGGGCTCCTGATGGCACCAGCACCTGATAGCTCAATATCTCCATAGGCCCAGTCTGCGAGGGTTACTGCTGTGCTGGCCCAAGCTTCTCCGTAGTAAACTATATGACCTCTCCAATGTCACCCAGGGGAGGAGCTGGAATCAGCAACTAGGAGCAAGGCACAGCCAGGCTGTGCTCCCTCATGCTGGACTGGAGGGTACTAGAAGACCATCACTGGTGAGGCCCAGAGACATTAGCGCATAACCCCAGGTACATCCTTCAGCACCTCTACTGCCCCAGGCTGCCCCCCAGTGTGGTGGAGATGACCTCACCTTTGTCTCCCTCTCATTTCCCTCTGCATGGATGATGTAGGGAGAATCCTTCTGCGGGTTTTCCGAGACAATGCGTACTTCCACTCCTGGCATTGGGGTCCCCACCGAACCTGTAAAAAACGGGAAAGTGGGGATTAGATAGCTGCACTCTTGGGTCTGGGACACTGGGATCACTGTCAGGAGTGGATTCCATGCTCTGTGCCTACAAGGAGAGATGTGGGTAGCATGCACACTGTGCATGTGAGCAGCCAGCCAAAGGCTTGCTCACACCTCACTGGTGCTATGGTAGTGGCTGCTGGCGCACAACCAGACACTCACTGCTGGTCATATGGCCTTGCAACACTAGTCCTGCCTGGCCAAGGGGAGCTGGCCAGCCAGCTGTGTGTGTGCAGGAATTGACTGTGTGCTCCAGAAAGGGCTGAGGTGGAAGCAGGTAGGGTTCATAGTTAGGCACCTATGGTTTTTTTGCTCTGTATACTGGGCTGCCCCATTGTTTGGAATTACACTTCCTCCTGCAAGGTGAGACAGAAGCCAGCTGGCAGGACGTGTCCAGAAGTCCCCACACTTCTGGACAATGCCCTGTGCTGCAGCATCACTCTGCTGTTGGCGTGGGGCCCCGGGCTCACACGCCTCGGTGCCAACACATGAACAGCAGGAGGAGTGGAGGAGAGACAGGTCATCACACCCGGGCATGAGGCTATGTCCAAACACACCTTTCTCCAGAGTCTTTATTTTAACCACGCAGTTAAGGCAGTCTGAGACAAGACAAGTCTCCAAGTGGAACACGAGTGGACTCTCCACACATGCACACACTTTGTGTCTTCCGTTCAGCTTCCTCGTGAGGTCTGTCTGCACTGTCCTGTTTTACATGAGGCACATGGTCCTGCATTGTTGGGGCTGCAGACTCCTGGCCCCTTGACTTTCTCTGCCCATCTCAGACCCTTTGCTTGCTGGAGTGACCTGAGCAAAACAACTTGTCTACCTGTGCTGCAGCCGCTCTGAGCACGAGACCCTGATGACAGGGGAGTGGGTTCTGGTGAGGCCTGCAGCTGAACGATCCCGAGAGCTGGGGCGTGGCTATCAGGTAAGGATCCCTGTATAAGCTTCCCTGGAGCACAACAAATGTGGCATTCTTTATTGTGGATGTATCAAGGATGACCCGTGTCCCCGTCTGTCTGTCTGTGTGTGTTTTTAAGTCTCCAGCTCAGTTCCGGGCTCTCAAACCGTCCCATAGTGCAGGCGCTACACAGCAGGCTGAGGTTCCACTGCGGGGGTCAGGAGGCTGAGGAGCACCTGCCCTAGGGAGTTTCTGGCTCCACATGTGTAGAGGCCTCCCCTCTAGTCAGAAGTGAGTCACCACCACAGGGAGACAACCAAGCAGCACCCTTCTTGTTCTGATGTTTGCGTTCTGACACTTTAAAAACCATTGGCCGTGTGCCAAAGTGCACTGGGGCTCAAACTGTGTGGCCCGTTTTGCCAGCGTCAAAGCCTCCTCATCTCCTGGGAAACAGCCAGCAGCGGCGAAAGCGTTCTTCCTGCTGCTGCTCAGGAATCTGCTTGGTCTCTCTGGGTTTCCTGCTCTAGATGCTGCATGTAGATGAGACTACAGAGACTGTAGATTTCAGACTCCTCTTAGAGGTTCATCTCTTGGCGACCAGGACCACAGACACAGAAGACTTCTTCCGTCTTACGCTTTAATATCTCTAGGGTGAGCCGGTTCCGACAAGCCTCACGCGGATGGTCCCCCATGACCTTATGTAAATCATCCTAGTGCAATGAGAATGGTCCCAAACAGTTCATACAAATGGTCTCCCATGACCTCATAAGAATGGACTCCAGCCAGGTGGTGGTGGCGCACTAGGGAGGCAGATGCAGGCAGATCTCTGTGAGTTCGAGACCAGCCTGGACTACAAGAGCTAGTTCCAGGACAGGCACCAAAGCTACACAGAGAAACCCTGTCTGGGGCGGGGGGGGGGGGGGGGGTGGGATGGACTCCATAGCCCTGCATGAATGATTCCCCATAGTCTCACGACAACAGCTCCCAAGGCTCTGTAGAAACAGTCCCTATGGCCTTGTACAAGTGGTGTTCATGGCCTTCTGTAACACGTGAAGCATCTCCATGGCTCCGTGGACCATCCCGCAGTCCTTCCTGTCCTGGCCTCATTTGCCATCATCATAGCTGTCTGTCACCCCAACCCCTCCAAACCTGGGCGGTCAGACCACTGTGCTGGCAACGGCTTGCTAGTCTAGAAGGTGAGTCTGCTCCCAAGCCAAGTGACCTCGGGCAGCTTTGCTCCTGGTCTGTGAGAGTGTAAAGCGGATCAACACTCCACAGTGCTCCCAGGGACAGAGGCGACCATGCCCTGTGCCGCCTGTCCCTTCCACCTTGGCACTCCGTCTGGCTGCAGCTCTAGTTTGTAGCTAGACTTGGAATTCCCCAATTCTGGCCAGTTCCTCGTTTTAGAGACTTGGCCATCACAGGCACCAATAAGGGTGACAAGAGGGAAGGGAGAAGACCCAAGATGCTCCTCATCTGAGACCCACTGTTCATTTTCTTTCTGTCAGGCTGCTATGGCATGGTGAACAGGGTTGGTGCAGACATGGTGCTGGTATGTGATAGTCACTGCAAGCACGAGGCAGGCTGGCTGAATGGCCAGGGCGCTGACAGTGGCAGGGTTTGATCCTCACTAATTCCTACTGTCCATGAAGCCCAACCCTGCACTCTGCTGAGCCAGCTCCCACAGGAGGGCCTGCCGTCTGGGTACCCTCAGGAGGGCCCGCCGTCTGGGTACCTTGCCAACTGTTCTCCCTGCAGCAGTCGGGGGTCTGGCTGCCCTCAAGTCATGCCATTTTACTTCAGAAGCCACCAGTGCTTCTGACTCTTGCCTAGCACAGCCATGCCTACTTCAGCCCTGGGCCCCTGCCATTTCCTGCCTGGTCAGAGACCTCTGCTCAATTCCCAATGCTCCCTCAAACACGGGTTCAGCATCCCCCCGATCCACGTACAGGATGCCTTTGAGGTCGGTGCTGGAGTCACCTGGTGTCAGGACTCACGAGGGCGGAAATAACGAACATGAAAAACACTAACAGCACCAGTCACATGGGAGCAATTAAAAAACCCATAAGCCCATGCCCAAGAGTGTTCTGTGTGACACAGGCCTGTGCATATGCAGAAAACCTGGACACGGTGTTCACAAGAATCACAGCTCCGGTCAGAAGGAAGCCAGATGTTTTAGGATGATTGCCAGGTTCCCAGGAGGGGCAGCTCTAGGTTTTGGGCACTGAGAAGGGAATGAGCTGCACTGAAAAGCAAAGCCCCAGGATGGAAATTCAGGACTGTGGCTACTGCCTGAGGACGGAGAAGGCGTTGGCAGGCCAGGGACTGTGCCCTGAGGTTGGGCATTTGCCATCCACTCAAGCTCTGGGTCTTGGTCTTCCCCAAATGATCTAGCAGGGCTGGAATGAAGCACCCCGCTGTTCTCCCGCTACCAGCACGTGGTAGAAAAGAGACAAGGGGAGAGGGAGACTGTCACCTTGAGAAGGTACTTCCGGCCCTGTAATCTGCAGAGGGCAGTGTCCTGTGTCCCTCTTATCTAAGGGCAAGAGGACCAGGAGCCACATGTAGGGCACGGGAAATGGAAGGGGAACAGCTGTGGGGCAGCGGTACCTGGCAGGCGAGCCTCCGTCAGGGGGTTGGATAAGGCCATGCCAATCTCCGTCATGCCATAGCGCTCCAGCAGTGTGTGGCCCGTGGCGCTCTTCCACTTCTCCAGCAGGGGGACGGGCAGGGCAGCCGAGCCTGACACCATGAGCCTAGGCAGCACAACCACAGGGGCTTACTCAGTTCTGATGGGGGTCACTCACAGGCACACTTCCATCTTTAAATTTAACATTCATGATCAAAGTGAGCTGGGGCTAAAACTGGCTTTCTAAAAAGTTTTTTTTTTTCAGTATGTTTATGTAAATGTAAGCTAGTCTTTCAAAGGGATGTTAGCTAAAGCAACATCTTTGGTGGCACCATAAATCCTGATGCTGATCACCAACAGTCCTAAACAACAGTGGCCACAGGACGGTGGTGATGGGGCAAAGGCCACACACCTGCAGGAGGAGGCAGGCGCTGCCGAAGCTGGAGGACAGATGGGGACGGGCAACTGGAGGCTGCGATGGCAGTGATAGAGGGAGAGTGCTCAAGAGTCCCTACGGTGCTTCCTACCACAATCCCACGGCATGCCACTTGCAGAAAGGAAGGTCCTTTGGGTCTCATCTAAACTGAAATGGGAACCAGCCCCGTTCTCCTCTAGAGATGTATGGCCAATAAGAGACCAGGAGTCTCACTGTGTCTGCTGAGGGTTCTGTATTTCAGAGACGACAACTGTGCCCGTGGTTCTGTGGGTTTGGTGGGATCTATTGGGGTCTGGCTCCTGAGCACTGGTCACCCCAGAGTGCTTCAGATGACAGGCCTGAGTAGGGGCTCAGAGAGGCAGCCAGCAGCAGCTCCATCTGAAACAGGGCCCTGATTTCCTCAAAAATGTCCTTTTGGAAAGGGAGCATACGAATGGCAGACAGCAAAAATGTAATGCTATCGCATTTGTCTCAGATAATCCGGAAGTCTCCCAGGGACACAAGGCACTGTTTCCTGAGCCCAGATATGTGGCATGCAGAGCTGGCTGCTGGGCACCCACACAGGTCATGCCTGGAGTTTTAAATCAAAGCTGCCCCTGCAACTCTGTCATCCAGCTTCAGCCCCTTCCCATGTGCCACGTCCCTGTTTCTCTGGCAGAAGAGGGGAAACACCCTATCCACACCTGCTGGGAACATGGATCAGGTCCGTGTGTGATGATCAAGCAAGTCATACTATGTAGTAGGCTTTCTTTTGGGCCACCAACCAGCTACCAAATCAAGTCATGGAGACTCATGACACACTCAGCCTTATCTTAGGCTTGTCTCACCAGCTCTTATAACTTAAACCAACCTGTCCCTATGTCTACATTTTGTCTCAGGGCTTTTTACCTTTCTTTCCTTCTGCATGACCTACTTTCACTGCTGGCTCTGTCTCTGGTCGGCTGGTCCCGAGTGTCCTGTCCCATCCCCTCCCTCTCTCCCCCATCCCTTGTTCTCTCCTACATTTCTCCTCCTACTTATTCTCTCTGCCTGCCAGCCCTGCCTATCCCTCTACTGCCTAGCTATTGGCCATTCAGCTTTTTATTAGACCAATCAGGTGCCTTATGAAGGCAAGGTGAAACAACAATATATCTTTACATAATTAAACAAATGCAGAATAACAAAAGCAACACACTTTTACATAATTAAACAAATACAGCATAAACAAATGTAATATACCTTTACATAAAGTAATATTCCATAACAACATTATGACCACTTCTAGTTAGGAAATCACTTTTCAACATAAAGTTGGGAAAGAAAATGATATCCACACAGAAGAGAGAAGGGCAAACTTCATGCCACTGAACAGGTAACAGGCTTCACTCAGCTCATGGCTGTGAGAAGTTCCCGTCCAGAAGCCAGGGGAGGGGACTAGAGGAGAGTCGGCAGCATTGCAGAGTGAGGGGAGTCTCAGAGCCAAGCCAGAGTGGACCAGGGAGGAGGCTGCTCCAGTCCTCAGCCTTCCTCTGGCAGAGGTGCCAGGGGTAGACAGACACGTGGGTGTAGATGACAGGGGTGGGGTGGGGTAGGGTGGGGGGTAGACAGACACGTGGGCGTAGATGATGGGGGCGGGGAGGTGTCCAGCAAAGGAGAGAACACAGGTGTATGCTACCAGACACAGAGCCGTCAGACACTAAGCAGGAGGCTGTCTGCTGACCGTCAATGGGCTCCATCCACTCACCTAATCTTTTCTTTACAAACTGCACGCACAAAGTCCTGGACGTGGGGCTGTGTGAAGTGCTTGTCGTAGTAGTCCAGCAGTTTGCTGTAGATCGTGGGTACTGCCATAAATACATTAATCCGTGGAGTTTCTGTGCTCAAGAACTTTTCCCAAACCTGGGGGAGACAGGGCGTGGCACTCATCAGAGGACAGCACAGCTGCCAGCCACACGCTGCCTCCTGCCTCCACGGCAGGTCTCTCCTACTGATGGCAGCCACACGCTGCCTCCTGCCTCCACGGCAGGTCTCTCCTACTGATGGCAGCCACACGCTGCCTCCTGCCTCCATGGCAGGTCTCTCCTACTGATGGACACTGTGGCCTCATGGGGCAGCCTTCGGACTCTGGACAGTGCTCAACACAGGCAGGAGGTGGGTTATTGTCCTATCTAGAAAGCTTCGTGTAAACTTTGCATTTTACCCCATAATAAATTTCTAATAATATTTTGTATAAAAGCACTTAAATTTCTCACCAATTACATTTTTATTTCAATATGATCAGTAGGAGGTATGCAGGACAGGACTGAACAGTACCATGTTGTCATCATAGGCAAGGGCAGAGTCTGGCTTGTAAATTAAAAATTCCAGATTGTCAAAAAGGCAATTCCTTACAGAACCCTCCAATTCCTAACAATCTTCACCTTGCAGTGACTGACCAGAGGTTCTGGTATCTCACCTTGACAGGCAAAGTTCCCAAGGGTCAAACAAAGACATAAAGAACAAAGTTGCGAGACCTGCTCCTTTCAGTTCCCAGAGTGGAAGTGACGGTGTGAGCTCAGCCTGCTCTACCACGGTGTCCTTGAGCTGCCGCTCTGGAGACACTGCCCTGCACAGTGACACCACACAGCTCAGTGACGCTGGCCCCACTGTCATCTCCCTGCCCAGAACCAACATCGATTGCTGCAGAAGGAGGGACACCAGTGACTCCTGTGGGTCCCCCAGCAGGAGGTCCTCTGTGGGAACCGGAGAAGATGTGAAGGAGGACAGGCTGTTCCTCACGTCCTGCTCCCCGAGGCCGGAGAGGGGATCAAGCTGTGGGTCTAGCCACAGGGAAGTGACCCTGATTTACATGCACATTAATTAAAAGATGCGAAAGAGAGAGAGATGAGGGCTCAAGTTGGCTGCATTGAATGGGGAGATGCAGCTACAAGCCAAGCAGGTGCTTCTAGAAGCCATTAAAAAAAAAAAAAAAGCAAAGTGGAGAGATCTCCACGGAACTTTCAGATGGAACCTTGCTTTTGGCTCTACCAGACTCATTTTAAACACTGCCCTCCAGGCACCTAGGAGAATAAATATATGGGGCTTTAGCCCTCCAGCCTGCAGACACTGATCACAGCGCACACAGAAATTCACTGGGTCTGCCGAGAACCCGGGGTCCTGTCTTACCTGCTGAGCACTGAACTCGGGCAGCATCACACAGGTGGCTCCTACCCAGAGTGGACAGAGCAGCTTGTTGACCACACCGTGGACATGGTGCAGCGGGAGGACATGAAGGATCACATCATTCTTTGTCCACGCCCACGCGTTGACCAGCCCAGTCACCTGTGGGAAACAGCACTGCCTAAGAACAGGGATTGAGGGAGTGTGGGCATGACTGGCAGACAGTGGTCCAGGGGATCCTGAGAAAGCCAAGGGAGAATAAGGATGGTTCTTTGCTCCTGAAGAAGGGAAGTAACTGGGTTCTCCCACTTATTGGGAAAAAGGGAGCAGAAATACGTTAACTGGGGACTGCAGAGACCTTAGAAAGCCTAGGAACAACAGGCTCTGCAAACACTGTGGGAGGCAGAGGTGGGATTCTGGCACTGCTGCCCACAGCATGCCCACAGCATGCCCACAGCATGCCCACAGCAAAGGACAGACTGCAGCAGAGTTTAAGTCTGAACCCGCAGGCTAGCATAGCTGCCTACCTGTGCTGAGCCGTCTGTGGTCCCTGCACCACGGTCACTCACTCAGCTGTGACAGGAGACACAAGGCAGATCCCCAGGCATATTCTCAGCTCTTACTGAGAAGTCATGTGGGCAAGGCTCCTTCGTGTGCCCTGGACCATCAGTGTGAGGATACTGGCTCCGTCACAGCCTGTGTCTCCACTACAGAAGGAGATGGCCTCTAAGATGAGTGTCCCCTTCAGGAAGGATGCCGCACATGCCCTATCACACCTGTGCCTGGTGGCTGGAACCACACGCCATGTGCCAAGGAACCTGGGGGCTCACTTGCTGCCTTCCTCTGTGTGTCAGCTTTCATGTTACTTTACTGTTCCTATTGTACAGGAGACTTCACTGTACGTACACATAGGATTTAGAACGTGAGTGGAGTAAGTCAGACACAGAGTGAGGGACTGGTGAGTTTTCCAAGGTGGTTCTGGAAGTGGCTGAATACAAAGGTAACGTACAAGGCAGGAGTCGACGCAGAAGCTGTTCTTACAAATCCCAACCTAATCACTGCCCGACTATGCAACTATACAGTCTTGGTGGTCGTTCAGCAAAGCATGGCAGGACCCTGCTCAGTGATGACCATAAGTGAGGCTGGGGAGGGAGAGGGGAGGAAACAGAGGCCTCCGGAGCACACCCAACACTCACCACAGCTGCTAAGTTTCGGTGGGTGCTCAGTGCACCCTTGGGCCTCCCCGTGGTCCCACTGGTGTAGAAGATCATAGCACCCCGGTCACGCCATTCCCTCTCTTGAACCGGCTGCTGTAGGGGCTGCTCCACTGCTCCACGGTAGATGGCAGGCGTGAGAGGCAGAAGAGGGATTCCCAGCCTCTGGGCCACTGGACTTAGCCGATCCAAGTACTCCTGGCCCACCAAGACCACAGAACTCCGGGAGTCCTGGATGAAATACTCCAGCTGGGCCGCGGGGTGCTTCCAGTAGAGCGGGACAGCGATGCCGCCACTCATCCAGGAGGCCCACTGAGCTACAACATAGGAGACGTCATTGGAGCACAGGAAGGAAACCCTCTCCTCCTGGAGGTCCCCAATCTTACAATCCCGAAGCCTGCAGATCTCCTGGGCCAGGCAAAGGCTGCGGTCATAAAGCTCCCTGTAGGTGTGACGGCCATGTTTGTCAATAAGGGCAATCCTGTCCCCAAAGGCCAGGGCGCGGATGAACACGGGGGCAATCCCATCTGTGTGGGCTTCTGGAGCTGTATGCAGGAGGCTATGCCCGCTGTGTCTTCTGGGAACCAGCCGACTGGAGGCCAAGGACCAGATGAGACGCCTGAAAGGCAGTGTCGAGTGGGGTGGCATCGCACCAACACACCACTGGCTGGGCTGGGGGGATGAGAGTGCAATGTGTGAGTGTGTGCCTGGTTCACCAAGTCTTGCTCCCAGCAAGATTTAAAATACACTCTCCAAACACCCCAAAAGACTGCAGACACTCTGTTTTGTTTTGTTTGGTTTTCAAGACAGGGTTTCTCTGTGTAACAGTCCTGACCATCCTGAACTCATTTGTAGAGCAGGCTTGTCTTGAACTTACTGAGATCCACCTGCCTCTGCCTCTGCCTCCCAAGTGCTGGGATTAAACGTGTGCGCCACCAACACCTGGTGCTGCAGACACTCTTAACATAGCATCCCTAAATAGAGAAGTTAACACTTTTACTCATATATCTTTAGAAAGTGTCTAGTATCAAAGCTTTTTAATCAGCTTCTTTAAAGATTTCAAAAACATGCAAAATTCCCAAACAATTTTAAGTTAGGAAACCCAAATACACATACACTTAAGGTAGATCCTGAGTAATAGATTTTGGAATTCTGAGCCTGGAAAATCACTAGTCAGTAGAAGCAGGCATCACAGGTACTCAAAAGTCATCCTTGTGGAATACTTAACTATGCAAAGATGTGTTTGTTTATGCTGAGAAATATAATTTTAATTGTGTAAAGGTGTGTTACGTTTGTTTCTGCTGCACTTGTTTAGTTATGTAAAGATGTGTTGCTGTTTCACCTTATTTGCCTAAGGCACCTGATTGGTCTAATAAAAAGCTGAGCGAGCTGGGCCGTGGTGGTGAACACCTTTAATCCCAGCACTCCAGAGGCAGAGGCAGGAGGATTTCTGTGAGTTCAAGGTCAGCCTGGTCTACAGGGGCTAGTTCCAGGACAGGCTCCAAAGCAACACAGAGAAACCCTGTCTTGAAAAACCAAACCAAACCACCACCACCACCCGCCAAAAAATGCTGAACAGCCAATAACTAGGCAGGAGAGGGACAGGCGTGGCTGGCAGGCAGAGAGAATGAGTAGTAGGAGAAATCTAGGCTGGAGAGAGAAGAAAATAACGGAGAGAGAGGGACACGCACACAGCCAGAAACCAGGCAGCTGCCAGTCAGCTGGACACCACAAGAAGCAGGAAAGAAAAGAAAAATGAAAAGAAAAGAGGGAAGGAGAGAGGGAGGAAGGGAGAAGTGAAAGGTAAACAATCCAGAGGCAAAATGTAGATGAAGAGAAACATAAAGAAAGGCTAATAAGTCTCCATGTTCTGATTTGAGAGCCGGTTGGTGGCCCAAAAGAAAAAGCCTGGCACACACCCTTGCCGCTCCCAGGACACATCTGAGACACAGCCTGCTCAGGGAGGACACAGAGCTGCTTCTCTCCTGCACGCCCCAAAGGACAGCCATTCAGGACTGCGACCCAGAAGGGCGTCAGGCAGGCAAGGTCACCAGGCTAGGGAGCACCAGTTTGTTTCTTTTTCCCCTCCTAACGGCTGAAGGGTAACTCTTCAGTATGTCCTCTCAAACACAACTCCTAAATTATAGCTGGAACAAGCGGAGGTAGAGTTCTCAGGGAGAGAGAGGAGACGCCACTGCTTAGTCCTACTGGGCTGCTCCACTGGGTATCACTTCTGTGGACCCTGAAGTCCACTCCAGAACAACAGAGGGGGCCATCACACCTCCACACTGGCTCTGCATATGGCATCTAGCGGGTTCAGAAGCCACCCAATATCCTGGATCTGCTTCCCAGTGCTAGCGAGCAACATAAATTTCTCTGGTTTATAACCCGCACATCACATGTCGCCCCTGCCCAGGCCTCTGGCAGTGAGAAAACGGCCCCCACCCCCAGTCCATCTGGCCTCCAGCAGTTAGAGCACACCACTCTCCACTAAGACACCCCCCCCCCGCTTCTGCCACACCTACCCCGCAATCACTTGTGGCTTTCATTAGAGCAGTCAGTCTCCCCCAATAACTGTTGTGAGACAAGAGGCCACACCTGCTTTGGAGCGGACTCTGAGCTAGAGGGAGCGGCTCAGTGCAGAGGTTCTGCTGAGCTGAAGGCACTGCTAACCTGTTGTTACAGAGGCACTAAATACTGGGGTGTTAGACATCACTCAGTGCTAGAGGTCAATAAAGACACCGGCTGAGGTGACCTCTGCCCCATTCCAGGCCACGTGTCTAACCTTCCTCCACAGACACAACAGCCGGCATTCTTTGGGGTGAAAGCTGGGAGCCCTGAACTATCTTAGGACAAAGGCAAAATGACCATCTCTCACGCACCTCCCTTCATTCCATCCACACCTCACAGAATTATCACATGCGACATTCCCTCCTGAGGTCTGCCTCCATTAGCAAGCTCCCTGACACATCTCTGACAACTTTTCTCTTTCATTAACTTGCCAGGGGCAAGCCAGCATAACATTACCTGCTGCCAGTACTAAAGGCAGCTTTGCCTTTGTTTGTTTAGACAGTTTCACTATGTAGACCAGGCTATCCTGGAACTCTCTCAGTAGACCAGGCTGGCCTCAGACTCCGAGATCTGCCTGCCTCTGTCTCTGCCTCCAGAGAGCTGGGATTAACGGGATTAGGGTGTGTTGTTACCCACTACATCAGGATATCTTTGTTATCTTACATACAGCCTATTTGCAATACTTAAATAGTTATCTAACAAAACTCTACATCAATAAATCTTCCTAGAACTAAATTTCGTTCTGTGCTCAAGATCTTTGGGTTTGACTAAGTTTCCCTGCCTCCTTGCTGGGGTTGGCTGGCTTCTCCTCTAGTCAGGCACTCTGGTCAAGACAGCAGCAGAGCTCCACCCCACTCCTCTGTGCAGAAGTTAAGCTCATGACTGTTTGTAGGCTCTATACACAATGTCCGTTCCCAAATGTAGGCTCTATGCACAATGTCCGTTCCCAAACACACTGACTCCTGGAGACCACACGAGGTCTAGATGCTCCACAGGGGCTCAGAGGTCCTGGTCTGTCACACCCTGGGTTTCTACTTCTACAAAGAAACTGACAAATTCAAGGAAACAGCAGGGTAGGCAAGAGAAGCCAAGAACGTGTCAGCCATGTGGCCTTCCAGAAGCCAGGGAGCGTAAATAAATTAGGGCACTTTCATTCTTACTCCAACACATTCTCCTCCATTTGTTTTACAGACAGAGATGCCAAAAACCAAGAGAAACTCAAAGAGAAGACCTGCTGTGTGGGATTTCAGAATTACAGATGTGTGGCCAGGTTTCTGGGGGTTAGTGTATGAGAAGTCTCAGGATGAATGGGAAGGACAAGACAGTTGGGATTCATCTATTGTCTCTGCACAAGGGAACAGGAAACAGAGAAACTCAAACAGAAGACCTGCTGTGTGAGAGACACCAGGAGCATCCAACACAGTGCTTCACCACAGCCTCCAAGATGGCACAACTCTCCTGAAGCGCCAGGAGAGCTGAGCCCTTGGGAAGTAGTTCCTATCCATCACCCAGATGTGGGAACTCGTCAGCATCAGGAAGCTAGGTTCCTGATGAAGAACTGCTCCGAGAGACTATGGCACACAGAAACAATATACAAGGCCCTGGGAGAGCAGTCCCGATATACTCCTCTAGTCCTGGGGAGGCCACGAGCTTGGGTCATGAGAGAGCAGCCTTCTCAGTAGTAGCACAAATAGCTGAAACCATTTTTACCCCACATTGCATTAACACTATGACCTTAGGGATGCAAAAGGATGCTCGCACAAGTGGTGATTGGTTAAACCGAAACCAACCAATGGTCCTCAGAAAAAGTCTAAGGACATCATGCACAGACACTCAAATAGGGTTCAGTAGGGTGCTGGTCTCCACTAATCTCTGTGTACTCTACTTTTGACAACACCATACCCTGTGAGGTGGTAGGACTGGGTGTAATGGATTATTAAAAATTGCTGTGGAATCCCCAGCAGCAGCAGGCAGTAGGCAGGGGGTCCCGAGAGCAAGTCCAAGGCAGGGACTACGCATGAGATCATGGCCGCAGGTCTCCAAAGGTGCCTCGAGCGAGGCAAGTGGCGAGAGACAGACGGAAGCACGCCATGCAGAGTGAGGTTGGATATTTATCTAGTGGTCATGGAAGGGAGGGGAGAAGGGGGAGGGGAGGGGAGGGGAGGGAGAGAGTGAAGGGAGAGACCGAAGCTGCCTCTCAGAGAGGGAGAACTCAGGCTGGAAGCTGAAGATTGGCCTGCCTCAGCAGATGGGGGAGGGAGTGGGCGTGGCTTGTCTCTTAAAGAGACAGAACAATCATTACACTGGGCCAACGTGGCTAACCAGGTATAAGCAACACAGTGACATGGCTGCAAGATTCAGAGCAGGCAGAGTTGGTGATGCAGCTGCAGGACCTCTGACTGGGCCCTACTTACAGCACAGCTGAAGAAAACACCACTGCCCTCTGGGACAGAGTCCTGAGCCCTGAAGGCTGGTGGCATTCCTACCATGTACAGACACTGAGCATCAGGAGGGATCAAGTCGGACTCCTTGTGGAACAGACTTAGTTACAGTTCCCATGGAGAAGCCCACACCAGGAAGAACGATGACTAAACTAACCCCGGTGTGATAAGTCAGGGAGGAGGGCAGAAGGTAAGGGCAAACCGAATCCTGTATGGACAGCTATACACATGCAGGGATGGCACTGTTGAGTCACCTTTAACTCTTGAATGTTCTATCATGTCCCCTCTGAGGCAGTGCCTCGCTCTCCCATACATGGAAATGGGACCAGTTCCGGCCTCCAAAGTTGCTCTGGTCTTCATGCACTTATACATCTGTCAGTGCTGAGCTAAGTACTAGCTCATCCAACCAGAGCCAGTTCTTCAGAATAAAACAAAGTCTGTCTATTGAGAGCATTTGATTGTGCATGGCCCTCTGACCCTTTCAGGTCCAGGGATATCAGAGAATGCACGTGATACCTGTGGGTTATGAACTGTCAAAACTATATTTTAAAGTAGCATTCACACACACACACACACACACACACACACACACACACACACAAAAGATGTTAAAACCTATATCCACTCTACATAATAAACTACCTTTTAAAAAAGGCATCTAGGAGCTGGAAGTATATTAGGAACTGCTTGCCTCGAATACAGGAAACCCTTGTTCCCCAGCACCACCTAATAATAATAGTGGAGGCAGGAGGTTCAGAAGTTCCAAGGTTACTCAGCTAAATAGTAAGTTCAAGGCCAGCTTGGATAGCTGAGACCCTGTCCCTACATTTTAAAAATGAAGCCATCTATCTCAAGTCCAAGAACAACAGGGAGCCCTGTTTCACAACAATCACGTTGACCTTGGGGAAAACACTTAGGACATTCACGTTTGCACAGTTACTCCCTCGAGGGACAGCACAGGTTCACCCGTGCTCCCGCAGCAACATCTGGAGCCTCCCACAAGTCTTAGTGGCTGCCACAAACAAGTTCCTGGCCAGGACGAAAATCAAAACAACTTCTTTTACTGAAATTCCCGGTCCCGCTCCATGTCCAGCAACCCTTTCTCGCAGGCACACTTGTCCGGCCCACGCCGCCACAGTCTGCTTTCGGATCCCAACAGTCTTTCTGAGCCAGGCCTGAACTTGCATCCCACGTGGTGCCCCACGCAAACAAATCAAACAGAGGCTCCGCTAGGACTTCAGCTCTGGGAGATGGGCTTGAGTTTAACATTCAGCAGAAGTTTCTCGCGCGCGACGACAGGCAGCTGCCCCACAGCTCCCACTAAACCCTGACCAGCTCCAGCTCACCTCGACACCTGTTCTCCTGTTCTCCGCAACGCGCTCACCTGCGGTCAGATGGGGGTCACTGGGGGTGGGGCACCGGCCTGAGAAGGGGGGGGGGGTTAATCAGGCCGGAAAGAGTCCTACACCTAAAAATGTCCGCAGGAGAAATGTGTCCGTCTATCTAATCTGTCCCTGTGTGCATAGCCTGGGTAATGGGTTCCGGATCCGAGAGTTCCGGCTTACTCACAGACCAAGACTGGTCTTAAGTCCTGTGCAGGATTGACAAAGAGTGGCTTTTAGGTGCTTGACGGCTGTCTCCAGACCTCTGGATCCTTTGTCCTGATAGAAAAAGTTCTATGGGTTGCTTGTGTTGAGTCAGCTTGAACTTTTTTTTCCTTTCCTTTCCTTTTCTTTTCTTTTCTTTTTTTAAAGGGAGGGTCTCATGTAGCCCAAACTGGCTTTGAGCTTACTACCTCTACCCTTTGAGTGCTGATTAATGACAGACTTGCTTCACCACACCTGGCTTATGCAGTGATGAGGATAAAGCCCGGGGCTTCAACCCTGCACCCCAACAACTCTGAGCTGCATCCTCAGTCCTCAATTTTCATTTTAATAGGCACCATGGTCGCCGTGGCAGGAGGCACTATAGACTTGTGGGCAGAATATAAATGGGTTCCCTTGGTCCCTGAAGAGGGGCTCCTTGGCTTGCAGCTGAGAGTCTGTGTGTTAAAGGTGATTTTTAAATCCTTGACACATTGTGTGAGAATCCCTCCTCACGGGAACTCAGAAACTGTGGCAGGGTCTTTTCTTCTCTATAGCATAGGCTCCCATCAAACTCCTGGTAATTCCCCTGCCTCAGTCTTCTGAGGATTGGGATCACAGGTCTGTGCCACCACAGCCAGCTTTAGGGAAGTAAAGGGAAACATTGAACGCTAAATGCTAAGTCCATTCGTCAGTGGCAGCAAAGCTAG